AGAACTCGAAACAAATCACTGTACATCATTTTAACTGAAGAAATTCATTTTGGTTTGGTTCCTAGAAAAAATTGCTAGATCCAGACCTTCTTATTTGTATAAATGAATGAATGTAAGACAATCAGACATCTCCTTAGAGTGGAGGTGACTGTCATTCACAGATTTTTTTCTAGTGCTCTGCAGTTCAGATATTTATAGCGCACTAATAAACTTGTACATAACTCATTCCTGGACATTTTCTAAAAGCAATAAAGAACAGAAAAAGCTGACACTGTAAGCCCCCAGCCAAGTTTTGAACCATGACTGTTCCCATGGCTGAATCAAATTTGACAGTCCATGAGCGATGTCAAGTATGCAGTCCTGAGCTCACATAAACTATTCTGCAATAGGCCCAGGGATGCACAGGGTGGACATTACTGTAAGAAGGAACCATAGAAAGAAGTGCCCCATCTAAACTTGTTATAGCCTTCCCTGTGGATAAAAATACCTTTCTTTGAAGATTCATATGTGAAATTTTTCATGCATTCTGTGCAAACATCTGAACTATAACTCAGGGTTAGACTTAAAACTTTCACTGGCAAAGATAAAAGAATAAATAATAACTTCCACCTATGCTATCTCATCTTCAGCATATTGCAGTTATGCATCTTGTCTCTCTTCTTTTATAAATACTTGTCAGTGTGACACTTGGTTATATTCCAAATAGTTTTACAAGCATCTTGATGCTCCAAGGTTATAGCAAAGATACTCACACAAATCTGCTTTCCTGGCATTTTTCATCCGTATGATTTTTACAGTGAGCAAGTTGCATGGAGAGGGCTCTGTCTGTTGAACAGCATGCAAAAGTTGTGGAATGAGCATGAAGAGAGAAAGAACAGAAGCGCAGTCAGAGATAGCATTGAATTAAGTGTTACAGTTCCAATAATCCAAGGCATTTCTCAACTAAAGTTCTTTCTTTTGCGTTTTCTTCTCCTTCATCCTAGGTTTCAGCCAGGTGTGGCCAGAGAGCCAAAATGTACGTTCCACCACAAACCAAACATCTGATGTCCTCCATTTTCCATTCTGAAGAAACTTGTGGTAACCCTTGACCTGAGGTGTCTGACTCTTGCAACCCAACAAGAAATGTATGATAGTGAGCCTTGCAGTGCTATTAATACAGCTGACACACACACATCTCCGTCTGCGTGAATTCAAAGGATGTTAAATATATTCACTGTATTTCACAACAAATAGCAGACGATCTAGCAGGGCAGGAATTAGTAACGATATCATGGTGTAATGATGCTGCTTGTCAGCTGGTTTACAGCTATATCACTACATTGTTATGTTTGACGTAGAGCCATGCTGGCTCCCAGACAATGAGGACCTGAAAAGTGTCTTCCAGAGACCTATCCCAAACTTCTCAGTAGGGGGAAGTGAAAGCAAGAACTCTGTAATTATTTCTCTCTGAGTAATTCAGCCCATCCAATCTCCCCTTTCGCAAAAGTCACAGGGAAATATCAATGGAAATCTTGGGAAACCACCTAGCCATAAGTGGTTACCAAACCTGCCAGGAAACTGGCTCGATTTTGTCATTCTCTCCCATCCTATGTAAGGATCAGACACACATGGTGTTTAATCAAAAGTACGGGGTCTGAAGCTGAGGTACTTTGTTCCCTAGATAATTGTCTTTTTTAAAGGAATAAAAGGAGGGAAATTTGCACATTTAATGCTTTAAATTAAAAACAAAACAAAACAAAACAAAACCAATATCCAAACCAACAAAAACAACAACCAAACAAAAAATTACAAAGAACAAACCACCCCACCAACGACCAAGAGGAGCAAAAGAAAAAGAGCAAAACTACGCAGTGATACAACAGTTCAAGCACTCTGCCTATAGGGCAGGGAATATCACTGCAACAAGCACATAGGTCAGTATATAACAATGTGCTACCATTTGTTCCCTTATGGCCCAAACCACCCACAAATTTTAAAAGAGCTGTATTTAATACATCACGTAATATTAGTTTCCTGGCTTTCCCAATGAACTCACTGATATTTCTGACATGTCCTTATATTCCCTCAGTAGGTTGTTTTGCCTAGCCCAGTTGGATGGAAGTGAAGGACAACAGTAACGTATAAAAAGATATATATATTTTTTTTTAATTAGGAATTTTCAAAGTAGTTAAATTACTGCAGCATTAAAATCCTTTCATTCATCAAGGCCAAAACACAAAGCAGGCACAAAACCCAGGCAGAAGCCCCACTTGCTCTCAGCCTTGCTGCTGAAGAAGAAATCTCAGAGCTGAAAGTACAGGAGGCAGAACCCCACATCCTACAGCAGGTACCCCCTGTCATCAAGGGGCTGTCTACACAACTCATCACAGAGCCTCCTTTTTCTTTCCTTACCTGGCTTTTACTGAAGAACAACCCCATGGTGATCTTTCCCGCGTCTGAACCAGGTGTGAAACGTGCAGTGGATGGGTTCAGAGGACTCTCGGCCAGGCAGCTTCTTGTGCTTTAAGCTGCCAGGAGCAGCAGGCAGATGTGTTAGTGCCTGACTCAGTGCCGCCTCACCCCAACACCACTGCTTGAGCAATCCCAACCCCTCCTCCTGCCCTGGAGGTGAGTGCGTGCTGCGCACCTGCACCGAGGCACAGACACCCAGGCTCCAGCGCTGCAGAAGCATGGTCTTTGCACCTGCACTGGGGAGGACATCAAGACCTGAAAGGGATTTCCCTTCACAGTTATGGGCACTGAGAAAATACTTTATACTTTTAGCATCCCCAACACTTCTGGAGGAGGCCACAGTGTCATTGCACAGTGGAGGGCTGTCAAACTTCAGCTCCCTGTATGGAGGTGGCTGATGCCAGCCAGGGTCCATCTGGTTGCCCAGGAGTGAGCAACAAGGATTTCTTTGGTGAAGGACATCCAAACAAACTGATGTGCATACAAAAAACTTTCTGTAGCCTATTCTTGACCATAGGAAACAGATGGATCTTTGTTTAAAGGCACATCTGAAAGATTGTTTCTTAATCCCCATCTCACCTTCATTTTGCTCAATACAGGCAGTAAGCTTTCAGCCAAGCAGCTATTGCAGTGACATATAATGCATGAAACAATACTCAAATCTCCTGTTGAAACGATGAGTTTCCCTTGTAAAGGCAAAGGTTTAAAGGCTCACTCACTTCTTAAACAGATTTGTCACTTTTTGCCTCTGAATTAAGGCGCTTCAATGAATGATCTCCAAGAAGATACATTTGGGAGGGTGAAATTTATGTTGAAATTCACACTAATTATTCTTTATGTCCTCATGTATTCTTCATGTCCTCACGTTTATAAGGCTTCACTGTGCAGAGCACTGCACAACATGTGAGGTGGTCAGTGTTTCAGTGAGGGAGTACCTGAACTGAGTACACAAGGAAAAAATTGGAGGGGTTTTTCTGGTAAAAAAAAAATCCTTGCTATTAGGAAATTTAACAGAAAAAACAAATTCAAAATAATCTCATTTCACTTTGTAATGAGTAATGACATGATTGGTAAAGGTTTCACAGACATATTTCAAATTGCATAAAACGTCTGGCATTTTAAGACACTCTAATGTAAGAACTAGATGCAACAAAAGTCACCCAGACAAACTTTAAACACATTAAGGATGGATAAAAGATCACAAAAAGCAGTAGTCAAAGGAAGATAACTCCAAAGAAAAATATAGAATCATAGACTAGTTAGGGTTGGAAAGGACCTTAAGATCATCTGGTTCCAATCCCCCTGCCATGGGCAGGGACACCCCACACTAAAGACTGCAAACAGCTCAGTTATAAGCATATTGCATGGTTTTATCAATGATCTTGAAAGTCTTAAAAAAAAAAAAAGAAAAACTAAAAACCACTATTGGTGCCCTGATTCAAAAAAAAAAAAAAGGAAATTGAAATATTGGGGATGCTACAGCAAACAGCTGCAGAACCATCTTGAGAATAGGAAGAATTCCCTCTGAGAGGGAAAGGCAGATTTTGCATCAACCAACAGGACACAATGCAGAGATAACCCAAGGCTGACTTGGGATGCAGCACACGTATGTCAGTAGAGTAATTAGTCATGGGTAGAAGATGGGCTAATTAGCCCCGATGAAAACCAGGGTTAATCAGGCTTAGGCTGTGTCACGTACCTGTCTGGCTTTTTTCTGTCCAGTTGTTGGGTAAGTTTCCCCTGTAAAAGAGATCAAAACTTCTTCCATCCCACCCTGTTTCATTTGCAGCAAAAAAGTCTTAGGAGCCATGCGTGTAACAGCAGAGATAACTCTGGAAAAGACCTGGAGGGATCCCATGAGCAGATGTCCTAAACCACAGTTACAGCTGCCTCACATATCGAGGGCTAACAATCTAGCTCTAAATATGCAATACTGTACCTGAAAAAAGGGTTACATGTGCCCTTTCAAGTGTTTCAGGTGTATGAACAAAATGAACATGCTTATAGGTGAAAAATATGGCCCACTCTTCTTCTTCCACCATCTGAATTGCTCTAAGATGCACCACCAGCTGTTTTTTCAATAGGAGAGACTCTTTTCCTCCAATCCATTTCCTAGAACTTTATTCCATAGAAACAAACTTGTCACCTTTGAGCATAATCAGGATACCCCTGATCTTAACACCAGTTCTTTCCTGGTGACTCATTCTGAAGTTCATTGCTTCAGTCAGAGCTTTTTATTATCAAAAGGAAAATAATCCTAAGCATTTTCTGAGCTGCTGTGACCAGTCTCCTCATATATCATATACTACTTCACATCTTATGAAATGCTGGGAGAAATTGCAAGGTCATCTTTCCAGGGACAGTCAAAGCAGGGGAAGATGAGTGGGACAGGAGAATCAGCAACAGCTCCAACACGGCAACATGGCAACTACTTAGGCTGAGTATAGGTGGTTCTGTGAGTAGCAGCTCAGAGGACTCATTTGACCATCTGAAACAAACATGACTAAATTCAGAGGTATTTTTTATTGATGGTGAAAACAGTATAGACTTTTACAACACTGATAGTAACTTAACAAACGTATTTTTGAAGTTTCATGAAGAAAGCCAGTTAAATAAAAACCTCGTAAGTGGACAGACACTGTAATCAGCAATAATAACCTTCAATAATTAGGACAGGCAAGACCAGCACAATGAATTAGCTATCTACCAGCAAAATTCCAGTTCAATGGATTGCTGTTCTGCCAGACAGAAATAAGACATTAAAATGTGAATCAAAGCAGCATTTATATGTTCTACATATTTCATTGTCTTACACAATGCTGTTTGAATTTATAAGGAATACATATTTGTCAACTGGTAATGTAGCAAGGTAGCAAAACAAAACATGAATCTGTTGCCTTGAAGTTTGTTTTGGATTAAAGCACTGGTAAATTCCAATCTGCTCATCTGAACAGTCATGTAAGTAAAATGGAGTCCAGTACATCCTCAGGATGATGTGATATCTACTGCAGGTATCACTGGCAAGCATCAAACACCTCGATCTTACCAGACAATAGAAAACCCAAGAAATATCACATGGAGATTTGAAGCTAGTGGGCAGTGACTAATAATTCCGTTGTTTCCTTCGTGCCACTGCCAAACGCAAGGCTTGAATAATCAACTGCTCATTATTCAGGACATTGTAATCAGTCAGTTTCACTAGTTTGTCAAAATTCTCTTCACTGAAGCACACCTCCCTTGTAGTAAATGGGGAAAGGATGGTGGAAACATCAACTTTGCCTTCAGCCATCTCTTCAGGACTCCTTTCCACACCTGAGGGACAAACAGAAGGAGATGCACCCATAAGGTTTTATTGCATTAAATGGCTCATAATAGTCATTTAAGTCATTACAGACAGAAAAGGGAGATTTGGAGGGAAAGATACAATTTGCCAAAGGGACATCTGTACCACCATATTCTCCAGCCTCTGGATCAAGCCTCTGTCCGAAAATGATGTGAACCCAAACAGCTGGGAATGACAACAACATTTATTATCAGCAGCAGTGCTTGTAGACCACTCCTTGGACAACATAAAGTCTTGGTTACCCAAACTTGAAAAGTACAAGCAAAAGGAAAGAAAGATAGTCTTGTACTGGATGAAATAACAACCATCTCGCTGAAAGTTCAGGAGAAATTATGGCATTCAGACGATGTAGTTCATATTAAAACCAAAAAGCTGTTCACTCAGTCCTCAGTTTGGGAGTTTACTTTTAAATATGTCAACAAAACCCAGATGAATGCACAACCACCAAAACGTCCAGAAGGTTTTGCCTTCATCTTTCTTTGCAAGCATTGGTGCATAACAAGTCCATGTCTGTAGAGTAGAAAAGCTTGTGCTGAGGAATTACCACTCATGTCGCTTCTATTTGGGAGTTTCATACTATCTCTAGTAAGTCCTGTGGAGTATATGCCTACTTTCATCTCAAATGTATTAGGAGCTTCTGGAATTCTCACAGTTCAGATGCACTCACACAGTTCGGAGGTGTTTTTGACTCATAATACCAGCATTAGAAAGAAGGTCAGAGATGACAGTGAGATGTTAGATAGGAAATGGATACACTAGGCAAGCGACTTTAAATTAAAACTACTAGCCAGAGATGACTCACCAGGAGCTTTATATTTCTTGAAGGTGTCATTCACTAGGGGGAAGAAAAGCACTGTTGGAGCTTGTGGACTGTCAGCATCTTCAAACACATAGCATTCCTTCAAGTTTTCCCTGTCTTCTTCACTTATCTCAATTTTGGGAAATGGAATTCCTTGCCCTGAGATGTACTTTGCAATCTGATCCAGAGGCTGGATGAATGAATAAAAAAAATAAATTTAACACAAAGAAGCAAAACTCAAAAATATCGAGACCTGGATTTTTTTAAACTCTAGCAGCTAACATGAATTTTGCTAGATTTAAATCTTCCTTTGGGAAGGTATCAATTTTCACATGGAAACAGCCATAGTTATACTAGACATTGCTATTCATCTCATTTTCTCCATTGATTTAGGCAAAACAAAAAAACAATCACTTTTTTTGAGCTTGCAAGTGGAGCCAAAAGCCACAGGACTGATCTTATTATTCTAATGAAACAGGTTTAGAGGGAGAAGGCAAAGAAACTGCAAGAATGGAGAAGGAAGACATCAGTTCAGATTATTCTGTATCGTCTTGAGTTCTTATTTACCACTTTCCCAATCTTTCTGTCCTCTGCAGTTTGTGATGTTTGACAATGACTCCCTATTAGCAAATATGTTTATCAACGTACCTTATGAACTCATCAAAGAAAAACATTTTTAACAACTATATTTACTTTAAGCCTATGTTTATTTTATATTATTCTCATTATATATGCAACACTAATATTATTTTTCTTTATGAATCAGGTCAAGCATCAGCCTGTACATTTCCCTAAAACTGATGAGAGAAAGAGGCTCAGAGACACATAGGTTTTCCCATGTATTATGTTGAAATACTGTGAAGACTTTCCATTGCCTCTATAACTTGCTTGGTTCAAGGGTAACCAAAATCAGTATAGGAGCTCAGTTAGCTCTTTAAAAACTCTTGGATCCACTGCAGTGAAGATCTTGATGATTTTGAAACGTCTGTATCCAGTACAGTCTCCTTAGTTACTAATACATCACCTAACAATTTAAATAACAAAGCAGATAATAATCATATAATTCCTACTGCAGAACCAAAAGCTAGTTGGTTTAACTGATGAGTGCTAGAGACCAAAAGACCATGGAGGAAAAACATCCCAGATGCCATGGCTTATCTTACCAGTGCCTGGGACCCTCCACTGTAATTTAAATGCAGGAGGACATCCACCTCCCTCTTCGATCTCAAAAGCGGTGGGTAGCTTGTGTTGATGAAAAACCCAGTATCAACAAGGGAGAGCTCATCATCTGCTGTTTCCATCAGTTTATTTGGGAAGGAGTCTATCACTGTGTCTGCAACACAAACATTTGTCATTATAACAAATAAAAAACCACAACTGACTGCTCTGCAGAAAGGTACTGAAGGAAGAATGGAGAATTTCTTCTCCCCATTTTCCCTGCCTTCCTTTGACTGACTAGCAGCACTGATTTACAGAAGTGACACACTGCAGCTTTTTCTGTCATTCTCTCCTGGACACTCCAAGCAGCTTTGGCTGAGCTCACCCTGCCCACTGGAACACAATGCCCAGACAGACAAATTCAATTTCACTCCTCAAACCCAACCCCAAAAATAAAATGCTGTTTAAATCTGGCTTCCATGTTTTCCATTTGTAGAAGGGAGAAGCAGGTTTTCAGAAGCCAGTCTTGTCTCTTCCTTCTTGTTGGAAATCCTAAAGGAATTCCCAAATCTAAACCTCTCCAAAATTTTACTAAAACCCAGACTGTGTTACTGTGCCTTTCCATGTAGAAAATCCTTCACTCTCCAGGTACTTGCTATGCATCTGTAAGCCTCTGATAAAATTGGGATACTGTGCAATGGTTGGGCGTCCTGTCAAGACATCTCGCAAAGCCGAGGAGAGGGCGCTTGAGGGAGTGAATAGACATGTGTCTACCTCATAGGGATTCATGGACAGAAAGGGTTCCTCCTCTGCAAGAAGGAAAAAAGTAGTTCTGAGTTAGGACAGTTTTCAGAAATTATCAGTATTTTTAAAAATGGAGTAACTAATAACCACAGTTCTCACCATCCCCCACCCCACAGGTTAATCAAACATTGCTATAAGCCTTCAAGGTCTATGCCACCAAATAAAACTCAGCATTATGCAGTGAATTAAGTGACAGCTACCTGCAGGCAGCAAGCTGCCAGGAAGTAAATACCACCTCCCACTGTAGGCTTCCTCAAATGATGCCCACCTCTATTGCAGTGTGTGGTGGAGGGGAGAGCCAAGTCCCAAACATACAGGATAACACTGGCCGTTGAGCAGGACACCTTCAGAATGCATGTGAGTATCACCCAGCTGCAAATATTAGCTAAGTTAGGAGGCCAGCCACTCCAGGCTCCCTGTGCAGTTAACAGCAAGAGTAAGCTTTCTCCAAAGGCAGTTTAGGGGAGAAAAAAAGCCCTGCACAAGAGACATTTTCTCTGCTGGCAGCGTTAGTGGCCAAGGAGGACAATATTCTAACTTAACAATCTTAAGATGTGTTCTTAGCACAACATGATTTTTACATGTCTTCTGGAGACTCTTTTTGTGCCTGTTTGTCCTTCAGAAAAAGGCACAGCTTTGCCAAAGTTGCACAGTTTAGTTCTAAATCAGGCAGAAAGTTTTCTTAGCTGACATCTCTGCTTTTCTTTCCTCATTTCTTTCTCTGACTTCAACAGCATATCTCCAGGCATTAGACCTCTGCACAGAAGGTGCAATACATATAGCATGCAATATATACTGGTAGTTAAAAAAAAACGTTCCATAATCTCACCAATATCTTTTACTCTGTCTCTGGTCCATCTAGACCAGAAGTCCTCTGAATCAGTAGCCAAATTCCAGACATACATCGCATCTATGGAAAATATACTACTCCACATGCCTGTAATGTGAAAGAGAAAATAGAAACTGATTGGTGGAGTAGTCTTGGATGGATTTTAATTGATATTTACCTTGAGTCTTTCCCCTTGGATACTTCCTTTCTGTCTGTCTGGACATCTTTGTATACATATTGCCTAAATATGTCCTTGCTAATATACAAACCACGTGATCACTCACACCAGCTACCACTCAAGTAGGCCACCTTTCCCTCTAGGCAGTAGTCACCTTGCATATAGCAGATCCGAGTCTCTGGGAGCCTCTTCACCATCCTTCCCATAAAAAACTCACTTCCAAAGTGTTCTGCAGGAATAGATGCTCCATATTTCAGGAGACTGACTTCATAAGGAGTGAACTCCAGCCACTCTATGGCAACAAACAGCCAGATCATGAAAAGGCAATAATATGTTAACTGTTGCTAAACAGAAGAGTATTAGAGAGTAGAAACAAATAATGAGACAGACATTGGGTAGTTCATGGCTAGTTTATCAGCTATAGGTATATCTATATTGCCTGCAGTACTAATGCCATAAGATCCTTTCACATTGAGGCAGGGTGGTCCCAGACTGTGATACAGCAATCTCCAGCAGAAGAGCCCTGGTTTGAATGAAACCATAAGTATTCCCTGCAGTTAATCTTATGCAAAAGTGTGTATTGCTCGCAGAATCACAGAATCCTAAGGGTTGGAAGGGACCTCAAAAGATCATCTCGTCCAACCCTCCTGCAAGAGCCGGGTAACCCAGAGTACATCACACAGGAACTTGTCCAGGAGGGCCCTGAATATTTCCAACGTAGGAGACTCCACAACCCCCCTGGGCAACCTGTTCCAGTGCTCTGTCACTCTCACAGTAAAGAAATTTTTCCTGATGTTCACATGGAACCTCCTATGCTCCAGTTTACACCCACTGCCCCTTGTCCTATCGCTGGACATCACTGAAAAAAACCTAGCTCCATCATCCTGACACTCACCCTTTACATATTTGTAAACATTGATGAGGTCACCCCTCAGTCTCCTCTTCTCCAAGCTAAAGAGACCCAGCTCCCTCAGCCTCGCCTCATAAGAGAGATGTTCCATTCCCTTGATTATCTTTGTAGCTCTGCTCTGGACTCTTTCAAGCAATTCCCTGCCCTTCTTGAACTGAGGGGCCAGAACTGGACACAATATTCCAGATGCGGTCTCACCAAGGCAGAGTAGAGGGGGAGGAGAACCTCTCTTGACCTCCTAACCACACCCTTTCTAATGCACCCTAGGATGCCATTGGCCTTCTTGGCCACAAGGGCACATTGCTGGCTCATGGTCATCCTCCTATCCACCAGGACCCCCAGGTCCCTTTCCCCTTCACTACTGTCCAGCAGGTCAGCCCCCAGCCTGTACTGGTACATGGGGTTGTTCTTCCCCAGATGCAAGACTCTACACTTGCCCTTGTTAAATTTCATCAAGTTCCTGCTCATGTATAACTTGTTCTTTTCAGGGCACCAGGCTTGGTGTGGCTCATACTAAAGCAAATGCTGTGAAAATTAATATTATAGAAAAGCGATTTTCCTGACAGTGGACCCAAAAATTCTAAGTTTTCCCATTCAATTTTTCAAAATAAGACCACATAGAACCATCATACAAATTAGTTTCATTACAAGCTTTTTGTGACGAGGATAAATTGTGACTTTGGCATCTTCCACAGTATAACTATATTTTCACTTCTGATAGTGTAGAGAACTCACATTCTAAAGACTTAACATGTTTGGACTTTTCATTTTTAAGTGTTAGTCACTATAATCTGACATTTTTAAAGGTTTTTTTTTTCAGTTAGAATGAAAGGTCTATTATATTATTAAAGTTGATTACATGAGATTACATTCAGTCTTAGTTAAGATTCCTTAAATTATAAAACTGTTAAGAAATCTAAATCACAACCATTACCTCTGAATGCCTGAGCACTATAGTTGGACTTGAGGTTGATGGCCACATAGACGGGCAACGGGTTCTGGCCATTATCCACTGCCTGCCGTTGGTCTGATAGTCTATGCTCATCTTTCTGGTTTTGATTAAAAATGATTAATGGAATGAGGTGAAAAACAATTTGCACTTGAAATAATATAGTGTGAACTGTCAGGTTTATCTAGGTTTTCCTGCCCCTTCTCAGCTCACTGGATTGTTCAGAAATATCTGCCCCAGGATATTCCAAACTTGGCAAGTATCCCAAAGGAAGCTACACCCTATATGGATTCTTGGATTTTGACATATGCAGAGAGGTTGACTGTAAATTGAGCCAAGGAAAAAAAACATTCCCAAGGAGAAATATGTGTCTAAGTGAAAGGTAAGGGAATTTCCTTGGCTGAACTTCAGTGAACAGAATAGATCATATTTTAAGATGCTCACAAGCAGATGCAAAAATACACTCTATTGCACATGACAATTTCAAATTTCCTTCAATAAACATAAACCAGAAACAAACTACTTGAGTTACACTATTTTTAAAGTATTAAAATTTACATCACACTTTCTAAAAATTAGGTAACATATTTAGAGAATGCTTTTTCTGCTGTTTGAATCTTTTCCATATGCAATCTATAAGTAAGTTACTTTACAAATGCATATCCTCACTTATGCTAGTGAAGTTAGTTATTTCAAATTTTTAAGTGTCTCTTCTAGTCAGAATATTTAATGTCCAAAGTAATTAGTTTACATATCAAAATATATTTTTTCTCAGGATTTTAGTTTCTTGAAGAAGACAGAACATCTTTGCCTGCAGTGCCATAACTATTTCAGTTCAAAGTCAGCCTCACTTTACAGCAAGAGTAGTATTTTAGTAATGATCTGAGTACACAGAACTTAATCAGCCACTAAACTATATTTGCATTAATGGTACTGAATGGCATCCCAGGATTTATTTTCCTTTATAGCTATAGAAGTCCTCCAGGTTTCTGGAAGAAAAAAAAAAAGAGTAATACCTTGTCATGTAGCATGGATTCAATGACAAGCCCCCAAAGGTCTATGAAAGAAGTGTTATGTCCTTCTTTAGCCCTTTCCATTAGGTCATTATAATAGTACTTCAGACAATCCAAACTAAAACAGCAGATCTTGGATTTGGTCACTTGCTTGCGAGCTTCCTTGATTGCATCCTCCAGATATTTTTGTGACCAATTAGCATCTTCATATAAATTTGCCATTGTCCTGAAGAAGCATTAGAAGAAAATAATGAAAGAGTAGTAATGCTGTGGTTTGGCTTCAGAGAACCTTTGTGCAACCTGTTTGCCTGTTTCTTAGTTCTTATGGGGTTCACAACAAAAATTTAAACACACCTCAAATACTTACGTCAAGAGCAAACAGAACTTCCAAGCACTCCTGGGTTTGATAATAAAAGTTTACATGGACTCAAAAATGATCTGAGATATTCAAGGGATTTAAAAAAAAATAACACCTGGGGCTATTAAATACAAAGACTCCACAAGTCCTCAGAAAATCCATCTTCGAAGGGGTAAGTATTCTGGGGAGCAGTCATTACCAGTTTGCTCTCATCCAATGTTTGTTCCGAAGTACCTTCTAATGGCTTCTGCCAGCGAGAGAACTGGACACATCTGAGTATGGCCATTTTTAGTGTCTCCTTGAAATCGTTACACAAACAGGCACACTCAGATTTCCACATGCATACAGAGAAGTTAAAAGAATTTTGGCAAATATTTAGACAAACCTGCCATAAAGGTTTGGAATTACTTAAAAGGGCTGGCACAGAATTCAGTGCAAAAAACCTCCCCACTTCCAACGAGGTGTAGAGGAGTGGACCTACCTAGAACCCACTTGATTAAATACTTAATATCATCTGCTGAGAAGAGACCACTTTATACTGACCAACCACAGCTGCAGTCTCTCCAGGGTCAGTAACTTGGCATCACTTGTTGGACTGTCTGTGACAGCAGTAATTCCACTAGCCCCAAATATATCTTTACCAGAGGGAGTTGCACTCTAAATCCAAAATGGAAGTGAGAATAAGCAGCAAATGGCAGGCATAAATTCTTCTTCTCATTTTTCTTCAATTTCCAGTCTATAGATGAATTTGTTGCATTTAGTCTAAGATATAGTTGATAAAATATGAATAGGGAATAGAGCATTTACATGAAAATATCAGGCAAAAACTGTGTCAATGTGGTAAAAAAGGCAGCTGATGAATGTGATGATTGATCTCTTATTCAGTGTGTTTAGTTTCTTTGCTCTAGGTGGAAACAGTGGAGATTGTAGGAAACATGGAAATGCTGTTGCTTTACTAAGTGCCGTATAAGCTGATGATGCTGTACAAATAGTCAAAGGTATTGAGCAGAAGTACAAACATAAACCTTGTTTGGGTCATTCTTACCATGTGGTACCTGATAAACCACCAATGTACGAAATGCAGTCTAACAGATTGAGTTTCTGGAGACCCAGCAGGCTGCCATACATTGCCGTCAGGGATCTGGTCCCTCCACCAGTAGTCGTGATGGCCACAACTGGCACCTGTACAATACAGCAAGGCAGAAGAAGAGAAGGGTTGCATGTATTAGTGACAAGCAACCCCTCTTACTGTAGAAATCAGATAACAAGTTACAGGCATTGGTACAAATAGTGACGTTACTTCATGCAAAAAGGATGCGATTGTTGCAAAAGGTTCTGTTGCCACCACCTGACTGATGGGAGAGGGATGTCTTGTGTCTTACCACTCAGGTCGGGTGGGTGGGAGGCTGTTTGCTTAATAAATAATTGGAAATGAACCTCATCACCCTGGAATTCTTCTCGAAGTGTGTTATTAGAAGCTGTCATAGAAAATACAGGATTTACCATGCCCGAGCAGATTAGGGATCCGTGATTCTGCCTCTAACAATGACCAGTGTCTCAAAAGAATGCACAGCACCCTGTAATCAGCCAGACCCCACAATAGCCAAAGCCTTCCTGGCCTCAGGCCACTAATTACTTTATGTCCTGAAGCACAACCATCAACAGGGCTTCCCCCATTCCAAGGTCCAAGTGTGATTGAAGAGACAGACAATTCTTTTTTTAATCTTTTCCCAATCTAGTACAACCTTTGCTTCCGTTAGCATCTTGAGTTGTGTGGATGTTTACATGCCCTATGGAAAATGGCTATTTATACCTAACAAGTATTAGTATCCAATTTTATCAATTAGAATAATAAACTAGAATAATTTCAAAAAGTTACATTTTGTTTTTTATATTTTCTAACCTTTTTCATTATGAATTGAAATTCTGATGTTTATCCTTTTTTTTTTTTTTCAGTTCAAATAGAAGCCAAAAAGAAAGAGGGTATTTTTTTTTTCTTCACAATTTTGAAGTTAAACACTTGAATAAGAGATCCAGACTAAACAAACCTTTTGAAAAAACAGTTTTAGTCTTGCCATTTTACTATTACCACATAAACCACTTTCTATGTGCCAAAAAACTCAGAGAGCTATGAGAAAAATATTATTTTCAGCGTTCTTGAAAATCTGATTTCCTATATTATGCTCTGGTATGAAATCCAAAATAAGATTATTTTAAAATCTGTATCCTAGCCACAGCACTGTTTCTTTTCATTTTCAGCTACAGATTTTTTGCTGTTGGGATGTCTGTACTTCAACAATTTTCAACAACCCAGCTAGGCATAAGCACTTGCAAAGCTTATGGCTGAATTATGGAGGCAGAAGCAATGGCTACAGTGATAAAGCTACACTTTGAGTCAGCTATTTCATCTATACAATTCAACAATGCTGTGAGATTCATTCTTCTTTCTCATCTTAACAGTTTTATTCTAGTCAGTTTTCCCAACAAAACTCCTTTTCTGCTGCAGAAACCACTCAAAGTATTTTTATTCAGATGTCTGGGTGAAAATTTTTGTTTTCTCCCCTGCAAATGCTTTACAAATGCCAAGACTAGCACCTTGTCACTGAGCTTAGGCACACTATTTCCCAGGCAACAGTCCTAGTTGTTCCATACTTGCTCACTATAAATTTTCCTCCTGAAACCCATGGGCAATTTCAGGAATGGATTGAATTAAGGGCCTGTTCAGAAGTTTTGGGGCTACAAAGGCATTTATCCTGCCTTCCCAGCTCTGCTGCATGAACCAGCTACTGCTTCTCTTGTTCATCTCTTGCCCTAGGTGGCCAGGCCTGCCCCAAGAACATCAGGATTAATTAAGCTGGTTTTATTTGTGGTTTTGATTTATAGGCCAGGCCCCCATCCAGTAGAGGGGTTGCTACCAGGGACTGTATAGGCTTGCCTCATGCTCCTTCAGGTCCTCCTCTAAATGAAGAATCTTTTTCAGAGCAGCAGCAACATATTTCTTCCTCTTCCGCAGGAAGTCCTGCTCTTCCATGCACAGGCCAAACCCCAAGCGCACATCCAGGTCTCCTGAGCTGGAATAGACAATGGGACAAGTCAACGCACATCATTTATAACTGCTTTCAAGACCTGTAGGGCAGGTGAATTTCACAAATCATCTGTAAAACATACTATATATTGATCAATGAATAAAGAAAAAAAAGCATTTCTATTGCCAGAAGGGAGCAATAGTGAGGATGAGGAGGAGTTTCCAAGGTGCTTTAGATTTTTGCCAACATAGGCACAAATACAAGACATACAATCCATGGAAAGATCACCAAAATGGGTAATTGCAGTGATTATTTTTTCTGTATCCATTCCATGTCACTGTGACATTCTGGAAAACTCAAGTAATAACAGTATTTAAAGTGAAGGTCTAATGAGTTGTGTGATGGAGCTTGAACTGCAGAGCAGGCGTCACTCCCTGCTCAGCCTCTGTCCTGTGAAAGCCTTTCACCTGTGTGCTGAACAGATTTCTAGATAAGCATTTGTAAGCTTCATCCTGCAAATATATAAGAATATTCATCATTTTTTTCCACATAAGCAGCCACACTGAATTTTTTCCCTTTAGAAATGTGAAGCACAATCCAAAAAATATGCAGAAAAACAAGCTACAAAAGCAATAAAATGGCAGCTAATGCTTTGTGCCTTCAACATAAACGCACGTTACTGAAAAGCGCACTCAATATTGACCAAATCGTCTGAGTCACATCACCCTCTGGTGGCTGCAGACTCTATCCTGAACATTACTTTCATCAGTATTTTACAAACCTGAATGTTTCAAGGGTTAATGTTAGTAACCTCTGTTTTCTGGCAAATTTGGTAATCATAGTGTAATTTTGAAAACAGAATAATGTCGACTGATTGACCTTATAAAAACAAACACCTTTTTTTAGCTACAGACCAAAATTTCTCTCTGTCCTTCTGCAAATCTGTCCATCAGATTTACATCTGAGTATTTTGTTATGGGCTGGGATTGAACAGGTAGCTCTTCTTACGCTCTGAATTTCATCTATACAAACTGCTTCCATGCTCTGAAAATTCACCTTGCTTCCCTTCTGTATATCACCTAGTAGTAGGGATGCTATGGACCGTTTTTAGCTGCACTATAAAACTTCATTGTCTTTGATTTTACTTCTGCAAGTCTGTCCTTGTGAGTGAGTTGGCAAAGATGCCAACCCAGGTCTCAGGTCTCAGCTCCCATTCTGCTCAGTGAAGCAGGAGAGAGGGGCAGAAGCCAGGCTGCCCTACATTTGGTTTGTGACTTTGCAAAGTTAGGGTAGAGTTTATTTCAGTCATAATACAGATTTAGCTATTGGCATAAATGGGCAACAAAACTAACATGTGAGTAGTACAGTTTTACTTGTGTCTGAGAAGAGTAGTCATAAAATAGAGTAATTTACTCTGAAGAAACCTACCAACGCTCATAAACTCATATTGAACTGCATGATCCTGTAACTGCAGTAGACTTGCACTTACCTCAGGCACCACATGAGCACAGGGCAAAGCACTCACGGGGCATGTGTTCTCCTCTCCACCTATCATAGAAAAAAACCTAGATAACTAGTTTACAGTAATCCTGGATAATAAGAAAAAAGAAGCTATCTTACCATTTTCTTGCTGTCAAGCACAAGTGAAAAGAATGATCCTAGGAGTCCAGAAAATAAAGCTAATTACTACCAAGTTTTAAAACATTTCTTTCCTTACATTCAGGCAATGTTCATTCAGTAAGAGAGGAAGTTCTTAAATACTAATTCATATGGCTGCAGACGTTATTTTGGTACAATTCACCAAAGTCCCACTCCCTGCTCTGGAATCAAATTCTTTCTTATCTAACAAGACCCTCTGGGGCATTTAGCATACCACAAGCTTGCGTGTTACACCAGTTTATAATGTTCACACTTAAAAGGAGCAACAAGAATGAGACAAGTTACAGTATTAAAAAAGAAATACATATAGTTACAAACAAAAACACTCTCAATAATTTTGAAGTTATGATTGGAATTAAGTTTATATTCTGGATATTATTATTATTGTTACTACTTCTAATACTACTACTACTAGCCATTCTGGAATTACCCCAATATCCCAAAAGACATTTCTGAATACATGTGAATAATGGTCATTTCTGTTCCTTGAAACCACTTGATTTTAATCTTGGGATGCAGGTTTGTAATGATTTTCATATTATTCTAATTATTGTTAACACCTCCTTTCTATAAAGTAAATAGGACAGTGTTAATATTTTTAACACTATCAATAAATAGCTGCTAATACTTTACACAGTGATTTTGTTAATCATCTGGTGACTTATTTCTGGGATAATAAAATATTGAAACAACAAAATATTTATTTCAAAAGGTTCACAGCACTCACCTCTTCTACTGTTATTTCTTTCTGCAAAGGGAGTGAATTCAGAGGGAAAGAAAGGACCCCAGATTTCTCCTTTTCATTTTTATCTGCCAGCTGAAACAGTGTAAAAAGTGGCAGGGATGCACACATGAAAGGTTTGTCACCTCTATAACTTATTCAATTTAGAGGGCTACTTAACTTTTTCTTCTGATTTCATTAAGGTTAATGATAACTTACAGGAGGGGAACATTTACCTCTTCTGGTAATACAATTTCCAGTCTCGTCTGGTCATTTATGATGCAGTGAAATATGATGAAGTTAAGGCTGGGTTCAGAGTCCAGCAAAATCTTTTGGCTTCCTTCATGGGATCCTTTCACTATAAATGTAAGCTCTTGGTCTAAACACAGTAATAGGGGAGGGTGGTGAAGGAGGGAGAGAGAGAATTTTTACTATTCCAAGAAAACAGACATTAGTAATAAAATCCACTTCTATTCTGAACACTTTCTGTCTGATTTTCCTGACACCATGGTAATTAAGTAGAATTCAGTGGCTGAAACAGAAATAGAACATCAGTTTAAAGGCATTTTGGTTTATTCAGGTTGAGCAAGACAGTCATTTAGTTGATGTCAGTCTGTTCTGGTTTGTTATGCACATTTCATTATAAGTTACAGTAGTCATAGAATCATAGAATCATTAGGGTTGGAAAGGACTTTAGGATCTAGTCAAGTGATTCAAACCCCAAAATCAAGCAGTCTACCTGACATGTACCCTCATTGCTAAAACTGAAACCATCTGTCAATCCAAAGGCTGTGTTCCTGGCACAGAAAAGGCTTTACATTTACAGAGAGATTGTATGCTGTTTTCTTGCAAGATCAGGCCAAGAGGCATATCATTTTAGGTCACTAGCCTTTCCTCCCCATGTTACATTTCAGTCTGAAACTTCCTTTAATGCAACTCAGCCATTGCTGCATTTTCTCTATAAAGGTCAATTTTCGTTTCATTAATTATCTCAAAACAGCCATGATTTTTTGAGATTTGCTTCATAAACTGCTTTACACAAGTTACTGTTTATTTGAATTACTTAACTTGAAGACTAGTGAAGAGTCCTAATATATTTCTTAGAGATACATTTTAAAGCAAAGTCCTGATTTGATAGTGGCTTCTATTTTGTGCAAACCCCTTTGGTACATTTTTACATTCAATTTAAGCACTTAAGTTTACCATTTTTTGCTCAAGCAACAACAGCAACAAAATCTCTTTCATAACCCTGAATGTGCAGAAACTTTGTACATATACAACCCCAAATTAAACATACAGGATGAGATTTCCACATATTAATTGTAACATAATATTAAAGATCTGACTTTGCTAAAAAATTTCATTTTGAATGAGCAATTAACAGAGAGAAATGAGGATTTTTTCCAAGTGTTCAATTCTAGTATAAATGGCTCTATTTTTGCACCAAGTTAAGATCTGGCTTGGAACGAAATACTTGACTTATATGGATTTCAACAGATACAATCTCTCTGCAAGGTGGGGCATGGTGAAACTAAGTGTTATGTGACACAGCTAAAGTAATAGATTATTAATTTTTCAACATCTGTTGTAAGAACTGAATCACAAAACAAAAACAATAGGTTAATGAAGCAATAACCTCACTTGTGGATTGCTGGTTCAGCTTCCCTGTATCCACTCTAACCTCCAAACAGGAAACCTCACGTGCCTGGAACAAAAGATAAATGATGATTGAGAGAAGAGCAAATGTGATTGCAAGTGATTCATACTGTTCTTAACCAAACCCTCTAGTTCATCAATGAGCAACATAATTGTTATCTATTACTGTGTGTTCAGATAACAAAGGCAATAGTGACAAGACATTTTGCGAAGTCTGAAAGTAAAGAGGAACAAACAACTCATGAGCTGCTTGAAGTTGGAAATACAGATAAAAAAAGATGAGACCTATTCAAAATAACAGGCGTATTGATATATGGGACTATTCTTGTGAGCATGTTATCATTTCTTCATTAAACCCCTGATAGTTATGGGTGTAATGAGAAAATAATGTGTAGAAAATTCAAGTTTATAGAAGAAAGTAGGTGGCGCATGTATGCTGACAGCAGCCTTACAACATGCTAACAACAGATCCTTTTTCTCAGTAGGTCTGTGGCTGCTAGTACTGGCTTTGAGACACAGCACAGTTTCCAGAGTTAAAAATATGAACAGTTTTTATGCAGGCAAGAAAAAGATTGTAAAAAATATACATTACCACTAGTACTCCATTAGTAATAATGGAATCAGGATAGTCTGGACTGAAAAACAAAATGGGAAATATAATGTCATGGGTTGGACAATTCAGATAAGTATTTAAGTCTATGAGTTAATATATTACTCATTTTCCCCATCAACTTTGACATTTCTGACTAACATTCTCACTCAAAAATACTTTAAGACTTTTAGCAAGCATAGTTTTGATGACAAGCTGAAAGTTTTTCCATCCACCCATGGCAGAATATGCAGCTGGGCTTTAACTCCAATGGGGTTTTTCTGCTTTAGTAAACCATACAGTATGTTCTGATATGCGGCATACTGAGTTTGAGGAGAGCTGGAGGCTGTTACGTCCATCTTGATTGTTTCGATCATTGCATAGTTTTACACATGTATGCGTAAAAGTTTTTCCACTTATCCATCTAGGGACAGATGTGGGTTCATACACTGCAGACACCAATTTTTATATTCTTAAGTATTTTTTCCCTCAGAAAAATCAGGCAATCTCTCATTAAGGATATCTTATACCATACTATTTTATTGAAATGCAGGTGTAAATTCATTCAGTACCTCAAAAAAACACCAAAACAGATTAGTCCAAAGGCAATACATACATACATAAAATTATAAGGATTGAGCAGCAACTCCTCAACCTGCTGCGGAGAGTATGAGCTGTTTGTTCAGACCTTACAAGCTATGGATTATAGACTCTGTAGCCACATATATAGTTGAGATATGTGTTTCATCTCAGCTGAAGTGAGGCAATACCCTTCCTTTAAAATCAGATGAATGACACTGTTATCCATTTTAAGGGAAGGTTTATCACCTCTGTTAGATTTCAGTACAAACACAAATGAAAATAGCTTTAAAAAATTTCTCATGACAAAAAATTCTCCAAAAATTCCAAAGCTCACAAACAATTTAAATTTTCATTTCCAAATCAATATTTTCCTGTAAGAAAAAGATATGGATTGGTTAAATACAGTGCAAAACACTCAGGAAAAGCTTTCAAGTAAAAGAAAGCAAACAAACAAAACAAACACGCAAAGAAATGTGCTTAAATACCATTCAAGTTTTTTTTCAGACAAAAAATATTGCGCTTCATTGCTATTTTGTAGTCAAATAGTTGTAATGATACAGACATATGGTGTCACTGTCCTCAAATACTTCATTAAGGAAAGCACAGAAACAGCATGGTGGATATTAAAAGATAGCAGCCTCCATAGCCTGGTAAAATGAAGATGGAAAGACAGGAAATGTCTCTTGATGGAGGTAAATACCCAATAGAGTGTGTTATTATTTGATGTATTGGCATCAGCAAAGTATGAAGTACTTAAGGGGTCCAGGGCATGACCTTCAAACTGGAGGAACTGACACAGTTGGACACAATGGCTTGGAAGGCTCCTGGGAAGAACCAGGACAAGAGAGGCATTAAGCACTAATGGCTGAGATGTTCCTTTTGGCCATCTGTGGTCACTGCCGTAAGGAAGCCCAGCTGCTGTCCCTTTTTGGTTACTCTCTACATGGCACTTGCAACATTTATATCTTGAATTTCAAGGCTTCTGCTGGTTACAGCATAAAGAGGATGTTTTAAGAACAGCAAAAGCACTGACCTTGTTCTGAAGCTCTGAGATTAGCTATGGCTAGAAACCCAACTAAGCTGGGTGCAGAAGAGCCCTCACTATCCAGGTTGGCAAGGACCTTTGTATCTTGCCTATCTCTGGTACACAGAACATCCACTTCTCAAGACTTGGCTGGTAATTTCCCTAACAACCAACCTGTTATTAGACAGCCCTTATCACACATACTAACATTCCTGTCCTATCCTCCATCACAGTCTGTGATTTGCGGCCTTTTTTAATGCAGACCTCAGTTTTACTGTGAGAACTGGGAGCATATTATAGCCTGTGGCCAGGGAAGCCAGGAACAGAGACCCTGGGTATCTTTCTTCCCTAAAAGTCTACTGAAGGGGAGCCTAAGACTGCAGCAGACTTTGTGAGTCAGGGGATCACTTCTCATCACCTGGCATTCATTAAACTGTTACCTCCTCTTCTTCTGATAGTGCTTGACTAACAACAATATGGGCAATATTGTAGGGGACGTTACAGCTACATGGATTCTTAGATTACAGGTCACATTTACAGTAGACTACTATGCATGAGGGATCATCTTTCTCAACACAAAACTTTTGCCTTCAGTGCTGTTTGAGGCCCGTGGCTTCTTGCCACAAACACAAACGTGAGGAGTACATTTGGCCCCCAATGGGTGGAGACTCAGCAATGCCTAAACCAAATGGCTAGTGTGATCTGCTGGTCGGGAAATTTCTCAAAATAACGCAGCAGAACTACAGAAAGAAAAAAAGACTTTTATTTTCTAAAAATTATGCTTTTGCCATATTTTAATAATATTTAACTTCTATACAACTTTTTGTACACCTATTTACATTTATTTGTAATAAGTGGGCTTTGTTTTAAGCATCGTCTTTCACATTTGAAATACAAGAAAAGGGAGGGGGAGGCGAGATGAAAAGTTGCGTTAGAGTAGTCCTTCATTCTTCTAAGAGATGTTTTAGATGCAATTCCTCAACTTGGAACATCTGAAAGATAGAAAGAGGCCAAAAAGAAGATCAGCAGACCCAGCAAATACCCTGGGGTCCTCAGACCTCTCCTTGGAAACTCAAAGTACCTTTCAGTTCAGTAGAAGTCTCTTTGGGGCCCCTCAACATCAGATGTGGGCTTCAGTAGAAGTCAGAGGGGAGGGGGATGTTGAGTGAGCGAAGCCACCTGGTGAAGCGGGATCCTGTCTCTGTAGCAACTCGTGGAGGCTCATGCTGGTTCTGGACCCTACCAACGGAAACACAAGAGAGAAAGCCCACATTACCATTGATAATCATCAGAAAATTACACAGAAAGTACTAAAGTACTCAAATCAGCAACCTGTGTACAACGACCTTACCTTTTCTGTCACTGCTGCTCGAGGGCAGCAGCTCTCATGCCAGCTGGGCTCATGTTATGGGCCCATAAAACATTGGGCAGGCGTTTGCAATCACTTGGCTTGGTTGCTGGTGAAAAAGCACTTGGAGGAAGGAGCATGCCTTCCTCTCTGTGTTGTTAGGATCAAACATCTGGCTTTCAATACCTGCCATGTGTAGTGGCAGAAAGATGAGCATTTGCAGGTACTGCAGGAGTGGTGCAAGACTGAGGCAAAATGAGAGGGGTTTTTGCAGTTGTGGAAACCAAACTACCAAAACGAAGGCTTTCTTCCATTTTAAATAAAAGATAATGGGAATGAATGCACAAACCAATTTCATACAGCCCACCAGGGTATCGTGAGGGAATTTTCACAATGTTCAAGTAACACAAAACCCAATTCTTGCAATGACATCAATGGGCAGACAAAAATAGGAGTCATAAAATCACTACTGTAGGTGCAACCCAGAAAATTTTCTTGGCCTGGGGTCACACTTCATGTGTGATATTGTTTATCTGAAATGCTGCAAAGAAAGAACAGGCTAATACAGTAAATTTTGCAGTTGATAAAGTCTGGAATGAAGACGGAAAAGGAGTGAAAAACTACTTCAGATAATGTCAGATAAAATGTGTTGATGGGAATGATTACTAATTTCAGAGACAAACTGCCGTATTTACCTCCAGGAAAGTATATTTTCTTTGCTCCCATCACAATATCAGATTTGTAGAAACTGTACTCCATGGTTAGCTTTACTTCTTGTTAACGCTACGGTTGGCTCTCCCTCTCTGAAAATTACTTCTAATCTCTCTCAACACTTCTCCCATCCAGAAATGCCAAAAAACTTTGCCAAAACCTGCTGAGCGTACTCAGCACAGGAGAGGTCAGTTTGGTTCATAGCTTTCTGGTGACCCATCTCAACTACTTCAGTTCACTCTTTCAGAACTTTTTTTCAGGCTCGTTAGTATACCACTGGTAATTGCAATCCCCATTGTCTCCAATTCTAGTGCACAAACCCTTCCATCAACTACTCTCAGCATCATACTTTTCTATGTTGAGCGCGGAAAAAAAACCCTCTCAATATCCTCCCAAGATCACAGTATTTCATCAGTTTCAGATGCGGTTACATCTTTATTCCGAACTTGACTGACAGGCAGAACAGCAATGACCACCACACATGTGCAAGAAATACAAATAAGGGATTGTAGAGGAAATGTTTATCTGCCTTCCAACAAGAAGCCCATTTTCCTAGAGAAGCATCTTTCTTTTTTTCTCATTCCTGTTGGGACCTCACAAACATATTCCCCAGCTTATGATGCAGCTGTTTCATGCCTTTGCATGTGGGGCTTTTCAGGACACAACTATTACATTGGTCACCCAGGTACCACACCATGAATGAAAAAAGCAGATCAGATGTGTTCTTGCTGTAGTAAACAAACCATGACTGCAATTATGTTAAAATCTCTTCCTCTGGACTGCCAAGGATCCTTTTTATTTGTACATTCCCCCAGCCCTCACCTTCCAAGCAGTAGAATTCCTACTAAGACAGAAGAAACTGCAGAAATTGCTGAATTTCTGACTTAATCTATGTCTCCAGGAAAAGAAATTGGCTACAGGGTCCGATAGAAGAGTTTGACAGAGCCGGCACACACATGCCCCAAGACAAATTCCAGCCTCTGTCCCCCTATGCAAACCCACTCTAGCACAACATCCAAGCCAGACAACCTACCTAGACCTCCCTCATCAAGAGGTAAGATTATCAAGAGTGTGATTCTATGTACCAATTCCATAAGCCATCCTCTAATTTGCAAACAAATGAAGATCTTAGACAGGCCATTTGGGATGTCTACTGGAGCTGCCTTCCCCAGTGAAATTATTGGTGTTGTGACCTCATTGTGATAGGCTCTCTTTGTCTTGTCTATTGACATCTAGGCTTGTCACTCCTTCTTTTATGTGTCAAAACCTCTTGAATATTGTAATTGTCATCATACTTCCTTGTGTATTGATTCAATGACAAAAAGAGAACAGGACGAAGTTGGTGGCCAGGAGGTAGCAGTCAAAGAGGGTAAAGATGACATTCTCAGATATTCAAAATCTTAAAAATGTGTATCCTGAAATCCCAGCTTACTAGACATAAATAAAAACACCTAGATACTCCTTTCAGAGACCATAGATTTTAGAAGCACTGTCACATATCAACCAGGTTCTCAGACTATTTCTATATTCAATACAATAGTTTATTTAGAATTTAGGACTCTACTCACGTGTTCTGCAATGTGAACTCCACCTCCAGCTCCTCACGTGCCTGAAGAGAGGGAAAAATGAAAGAAATTTATATTACTTATTTTTCTTCATAGCTTTAATTGTACCAATTACATATAATTTGTAAAATATTTATTTAGAATAGCACTTAAGATAATTCCCAGAGCATAAGAATAATTGGGAAAAAAATAATCAACAAAACCACAACATCAATAAAACCCCAAACAACTATGCCAACCAAAGATACCATATTTTAAGATGCTGAAAAAGCAGTTGCTAAAACTAGTTTTTTGAGGTCTAAATGCCATATGAGCATGGAAACATAGGAACTTTAGCTATTCTGCTAAAACAGCCATATTCAGATTAAAATTCACAACGCAAAAAGAACTAGCTGCTTTAATGTTATTACAGTTGAAAGAGACTGAAAATTAGGAACTTATACCAAGAGCCAACAAATGAGCCAGAAATATTCAGAATTAAGGCACCAGGTATTTATTTCTAGCTGCTTCCATCCTAGATTTTTAGAGTGGAGATTTTTCATAACAAAAACCAGGAGGGAGCCCTTATACAAGGATTTATATTTTTTCTTGTAATTTCAGCAAAATCCATTTAAGTAGATTTTTCCTAATACAAATCACTGTAAAAGGATATATTTAGACGAAAGGAAAGAATTTGCTTTGTTCTCATCAATTCCATCGCTCACCTGTGGATTCAGCTGAAACTTCACTCGAACCGTACGTCCTACGGTGAGTTTATCTATATCGAAGAGAATTGTGCAGAGTTCATCATCCCTGGTGACCGTGTCTTCATCACAGACCTTCAGCTCCAGCACATTCTGCACAAAGAGGTTAAGAATATCATGGAGTTATTTCTATAACTAAGAGCTCCATAAAGCAGGAAAATCTCAGGCCTAGGTCTTTCTGCATCCTCTAGTTTTCGGAGAAGAAGGAAGAAGCAGAAAGAGAAGCAGAAAAGGGAAAGAGATTTGAGAGTATTAGACTTCACATTACTGGTAACTGTACATACACAAAGCAGGCTTGCCTGCCTGGGGAAATTAAACAAGACAAGCAGGTAATGAAGAACATTTGTGAATTTGTGATAAATAACTGTGTTAAATCACAGAATAATAAAATGTTTGGGGTTGGAAAGGACCTCAAGGTCACATTTCTACCTCTATTGTAGAACATAAAGAATGTTTAAAGGATTTCTTTTCCACCATACCTAGAACTAATTGATCTTACTGCTATTTTTATGTGACCTTTAACTTGGATTTCACTTGGATATCAAGATAGGGAATAGGACAATAAGGCCATATTCTGCAGGGCATTTAATTGATTCTCACTGCTTCAGTATAATGGATGTTTAAGTAACAAAGAGCTGGAACAGAACAATACCAAGAAAGATGTAAGCAACATTTTTTTTCCTGAGGAATCTTTAACACCTCCAGAGTTTGTAAACTAGTTGTATACGTATTAGTTTATTGTAGTTTTGCTTTATCTATTGACTATCTGCACACAGAAAATTATGAAAACCATTGACTTTCACAACCTTGATTCTGCGATCGATCTTATAGCAGAAAGCTTCATTCCAAACAGGGTTTTTGCTGTTCCTGATGGTTCTGGTCCGAACTTTCTCAGTTGAGGCAGTAGGCAGCCACAGTGTCACGTAGCAGTCTGAAAGGGTGACTGTATACCGAAAAGATGAGCAGAGTGATAATACATCCATAAAAAGAATGCACGTTTAACCCTAATAAAACAAAGGTAACACGGCAGGGGCTGTAGAGTGACTTATTTTCTAGCATTTCTACCACAGATTTCATACCTCAACTTACAGAAAGCCTTTATCAAAGTGTTCCCCCATCAAAGCTGAAATGTTTAAAGATCAGAATGTGCCAATTTCATATTCATTCATACATTTGACAGTTTTAGAAGTTCTGCCTCTCTCAGCAGTCCTTTTGGAAAACAAAATCAGTTTCAGCACCGCAGTGGAATTGCTATTCATCTTTTTCCTTCCTACTGCTCTATCTGTAGACTGAAAAAATCCTGCCCTGACTCTTGTCTGAATAAGGAAGCTGTGAGTGCCACCAAAGACATAAGCTGCTTCCATATTCTGACCCCCAGTTTTGGGTTTGGAGGGAGAACCACCAGGGCATGAGACTTGCAGAAGCTTGATACAGGCACCGATGTCCTTTCTTTCTTACCTATAATGTAATCTCCCTATTTCACATTTGCAATGCACAACCAGTCATCTGGTTCTTACAGCAACCTTGTGAGTCAGAAGAGGTCAAATAATTCAAGCCATAGTCAACCCTGCATTGTGCTAAAAACCTGTAACAATGTTATTACATCACATTAAATACAATTTTCTTCATGTATTTCCTCTTTCTCTTTCAGTAAGAACTACAGATTTAGGTTTTTTCTATCAGCCATATTTTCCCCAAGCTGTGCCATATTGTGGGGTTAAGAGTCAGCAAAACTTTGATAATGGGTGTGGAAGGAAAGCATTTCCAGAAAGTGGCCTTGGCCAAACCTGATCAGAAGAGCATGATGGATCAGATATTCAGCAGAAGCACAAGTGAAGGCAAATGAAAATGTAAATGGTTAATGGCAATTAATGCTACAGCTTCCGTTTTCAAAGATCTTGAGACACACTGATGAATTACTTCACAGTGGTAAGGTAAGGATTAAGCAATTAAACACACTGAGAAAACTTGACTGACTTGCCCAAGATTCCATAATGAAGTCAGGGTCCAAAACACAGGCTGGATTTCCAGGCCTATACCCAAATCTATTAACATTATTTAAAATCACCTTGTTCTGGAACAACCTTAGGGAAAAACTCTCTTTTTTCACTAGAGAAGTAAATAGGAACATGAGATCAAAGAGGAAAGATTCACTTCAATAAACTAAGCACAAACACTTCACTAATGAGAAAATACAAAAAAAAAATAACCCAAACATTGACAAAGAAAACACCAAGGTTTAGTCCGAAAAGCAGCAAAGTTAAAGTGGGTGAAATAAATGCTAACTCAGAATTGTAAAAAGTAGCATACTGTTAACATTACAAACAGGTAGAAAAAGGATATTTGTGCATAGTTAAAAACACTGAATTTTCAAGGAAAACTAACCAAAACATTTTTCCTTTTAATGACTCAGAAAAGGTGAAGACTACCTGAAATATCCTTCCAGCTGCAGACAAAACATGAACAGGTTTTCCACATTAATTTGGGTTTCTTCAGAAACCAAATTTTCTGCTGAGAAGATAGAAAACACTCCTGCTGAAAAGTTTTCAAATCTCTCTGCCAGATACACTTTAAACAAATCCTTGGGATGCCCAGATTCTGAATTGGGGTATCTCAAGGGGCTAAAGATATGATATCTATCTGTTCCTGAGACCAGAACACAAGGTAATATAGCACTATGATGTGCCAAGAGGCTTCATGATTCACTCTGCTAAGGAATGACTGAGAGCAAGATATTCCTGAGAAGAGCAGCCATAATGAGTTGAAGCATAAACAGGCAACCTGCTGGAATACACAAACGTAGACACAATTGTGCATGCAGGTTTGCAGATGCAATTGCAGTGACTGCCTGGTCAGATCACATGTTTGGGTGGTGCAAATCACCACTCAGGCATTTGAACATTTGGATTTTGTTAAATAAAAAGTCATGCAAGCAACTATGAGCAACAAAATGTGCGCTTCTGTACATAAAAATAAGTCTGTAATCGCTAAGAAACCCAGAACTTTTTATCTTACAAAGTGCTCTCTTTCTCTAATGCATCAAATGACACATATCATAAAGCAAAGCAGTTTGATCATCTGTCATTTCTAGAGTAAAAAATATGAAGACATAAGCAGTTAATAAGGCATTCAGTAAATCATAGCAGAATTTTTAAAGCTGGAAAATAAAAGGAAAAAAAAAAATTAAGCACCATAGTACTACATTACAGAAGATGCAGAAGTAACCCAGAGTGCCACAAGTAAGTGCAGCGGAGATTTATTCACTGATACTAGTCATTCATTCATAAATACTGTTGTTAATCACAACTTCCACATGTTCCAACCACATCCCTGTTGCCAGAAACCATCAAATCCAATCACAGATAAGTTTTCCCTCTACTCTTATCCGATCACACTAAGAAAAAAACCTCAATATACATAGCAGATTAACTAAAATTTACAGGTGGTTTCCTTAGAAACTGTGATGTGATGTATGAAATTTTATGTGTACAAAAAAAAAATTATTAAAAAAATATATTTTAAGCAATGTTCAGCAAGATTTTGGGCAATATATTGTAGACTTTTCCTCTTTGTCTTACATATTTCCGTTTTATTCTAGTGGTCTTTAGATTTAAGTTTTCTTATTCTCTTTGCCTGTATTTCACACTTTTCTTTCATTCCTTTCCGGCCTCTTTAAACCATTCAGATTTCCCCATAGGAGTGACTCAGTGGCACAACTGTGTTTTGTAAGGCACCTGAAGAAGCCTCAGTGCCCCCAGAAGGCGGGTTATTGAGGATCCGCATGTGTGAAACAGAAGCTCCTCAATGAACTGGAAAATTCAGAATTAAACCAGTGCCTCCCCTGTGCGAGGAATTAAACCAGTCCCCCACGTCAGTGCCACATCTGGACAGTGAAAAGACCATTCTTTCGACCTATTGCAAGTCTCATTCTCTCAGCGTGGATTTTACTTTCAAATCTGCGTTCATACTCTCGTTCAATAAGCCGATGCCACTAGTTTGCAGAGACAAAGTGGATCGGTACAGAGCTTCCACAGTTGGATATCATCAGATGCTGTAGACTTCCTTAGTGCAGAGATGTCTTCTGTCTTGAGCTCTTTCACTGTTTACTATTGGTTCTGTGATCTGGCTTTGAGATTTTTCTCTTGTAGCCTCTATTCTGGATATCCTTTTCTTGCTTTCCCTTGCTGTCCTTCACTTAAAGTACTTCAAAACTCTCACAGTAACGCTCTGTTTAATTCTCTCTGACTTAAATTGCTCTGTTCTCTAGGTTAAATTCCCCGACACACTGGATTTTCTCATCTCCTCTTACATATTTATAAATTTTGTGGAAGTAATGGAACGTGTTCCTTGTACTTCTGCTCTTATAGGATTTCCTATTACTGCTGATTTTACCTTTGCATCACCAGTGCTCTCCTTTCTTCTATACAGAAATTTTTTAGGGAATACTCAGGTTTCCTACTCAAAAGTACAAGAATGTTCATCATTTAAAGAGCAGCCAAGTCTGATGCCACAAAGGTAGGAAATACCTCTTGGAGTGTGATATGAAAGAGATCAAATGCACCACCTTGCTGGAGTTAGTCTCTTTACAATATAACCATAGAATAATTCTTGCAGACTTGCAGCAACTTACCTTTTTATTCCCACACAATTTAAGAACAATAATATTGACCCAATATTTTCTTTACTTGAAAGAATTATAGGAAACATCCAACAATAGTAGAAATACTCACACAAGTCTGCCTTCCGGGCATTCCTCACTCTTAGTATTTTTACAGTGAGCAAGTTGAAAGGAGATACTGGTCTCTGCATGAAAATTCAAAGAAATAAAAACAAAAATAAAAAAATACAACATTGAGATTAATATTATGGTCTATAGTAACAGACTACTGGAACCTCAAAGTTCTAAGGATGGAGATAAAACAAGGTTTTTAAGGTTGAGCCAATATCATTTATCAAATCAACTGTAGAAGCTGGAAAAAATATACAGATTTTTGGCACAGAACTCTGTTCAGGTCTGAAATAGAAGCAACAGATTTCAAAACCACATATGAGTTGAGAGTAGGTGCTGAGAATTTGATTTGATAAAGATAGCTTATTTCTAACACCACCCCATCATTATCACAATGAACACCCCTACAGCACATGTATGGGTGTCCTCATCTCTTACACGCCACTGCCCGCAACAGAACAGACTCCTGGACACCAAAAACTCAGAGTAAGCAAATAGAGCTGAGCAACTACCACATACCAGCAAAGGCTCCTGCACCAGCACCAGCTCAAGCTCCTGCACCAGCACCAGCTCACACACACATCATAAAAGGCAGGTGACAGAGATGAGATGCTTTGCATGAAGACTCTGATCCATCTCTTATCTTCAGCCCTGATCCCCAGCAGAAAGCTACAAAACTCTTTCCAGAGGTGATCTTGTGAATTAACTCACAACTTGACAAGGTATCAGACACCTTGAGCTCAGAGATATTATTTCCATGAAGCTTCATAACTTCCATGGTTCATACTAATATACCTTCATATTCCTCAAGCTATAAATTGACTCTTTCCCCATTTCACCTGGAGTAACTAGTTGACATTTTCCTCTCCCACACTAACACCTCCTCTGTTTCATATGTACCATCTTTCCTTTTAAAACCAACGTATGTACACTTGCTTAAGAGCAGTATTTAGCTTTCAGTCTACTAATTCTGTTTTAGAACAGAAACAGGTGTTTTGCCTCTCAAAACTTTTCCAATCTAATAGCCTCCTAAAAAAACAACATTGGTTTTATTACTTTGTGCATTTGAAGTGCCTACATTAGTAATAAGCAGCAAAAGTTAAAAACGATGCACTGATAATAACTTTAAAATGTACCCTCATACATGCTATACATTTTCCCAAACCATTTGTCTTTCCAGCTGTAGCACGTATCCTGAAGTGTTTCACAATGCTTTGACAAAGTGTTAAGCAACTGGGACGATGGCGTGACATTGAACACTAGCACAGTACAATGAAGCAGTCCTTGTCCTCACCCACAAAAACCTTAACATGTCCAAAAAAATCACCAAAGATGAAGAACAGCCTCCAAGAAACAGCCTGGGTAATCCCTGGCATATCCTCTTGCACTGCCTTTTGGGCTGGCAAAAGGCCTGAAGATCAAGGTCATTGAGATAGCAGCAGGAGGGTTGGAGCAGTCACTGATATAGGCACATTTGTTCTTAACCTGTCCAGGTGCCTGCACAGAGCACAGTTAGGGTGCACAGATTGCAAGCACTTGAATTCTCAGCTGTGGGACATTTCAGCTGTCTTAAAGAGTATATCACACCTCTACCTGCTCCCTTATCTCAAACATGGCCACAAACAAAAACTTGGACAGGCACACCTTGAAAGAAAAAGTAGTGGTTTTGAACAAAAATTAAAAATTACAGTTTCTATTAAAAGCATCCAAAAGAAATCACACCCAGACTGTATAGCTGAACTGCCAGAGCTACTTTTCTCTATGCATTAAACAGAACTGGGTAAAACACAGAAGCACTCCTAGGCACAGGGACCAACCGCTAAGGCTTGTCTAAACCTGCCAAATCTACTGACATGTTTGCTACATTTATGCTTGGCCCCTGCTTTCCCACCCAATAAATCCTAAATGCTTTTGTCCTTAGCAGTGCTGTTTCATCAGAAGTGGAGCATATCTTTACCCAGGAAGGATGTAGCTTGTATCCCTTGAATACGAAACGGACTTGAACATTAAGTTCTCCATCCCAGAGAAGTGCTATAATGACTAGGCATGACGCCATTTGAAAGGAAGAACCTTTGCTCAGCTCTTTGAAAACAAGCATCTAGACTTTCATTTTGTGCATCTCAAGTGGATAGTGGTATCTCTCTGCCTTCTTGAGTGGCACGCAGGCATAGGATTTAAGGAGAGTGTTTCTGTGCACAGTTGTCTCTGTTAGTTAGATGTACTTATTTATGCAGTTCCCTGCTCAGCTGTTACAATTCCCATTCTGCTGTTATCTAACTCTCCAAGCATATTGAGCCAATCTTCAGTGCTTTACTCAGGGTTGTAGAGTCTGTTCCCTTACCAGAGACTTGGAAGTCAGACCTTTTAGTTCCTAACTTTTAGGTGTTAGAATGCTTTGTCAAATCTAGCTGTCAGCCTCTTAGTCACACAGAAAAACTATTGAGGGGTGTATCTTAAACTGGATAATCTGCTGGTAACAGACAGCGACTTCCACATCTTTCCCTTTAATGTGATGATGACCATATCAGTCTGGGTAAGTTCTGAGGCCAGCAGCCTCCTAGGTCAGTTATTATGAGCCCTTTGACTTTCAGCTTCTGTATTTATTTTGTCTGAGACATGATTGTTACCTCATGAGCCGGAAACACAAGCCAGGCATTTTAATAATCACTGTCAAAACCTCCTAAACACATCAGATTGCAAACATAGGACTTGGTCACCCTATCCTACGTCAGATAAAAGTTCAATTAAGTCTTGTGGCAAACTTGTGCAATCTTTACATGTCTAGTTCCAGGGAAGTCAATAGGAGTGTTCATATACATGGGTGCTCATCCCTGTGAATAAGACTTACATAACTGAGCTCAAAAACTGCTCAGTTCCAAGCTTAAAGGTCTTTTATAGATTCATTTTTTTTCTTGAGGAGACTAGAATGAAATACATACAACATTCCCAAGGTACATCTAGAGAAAAGCCAGTTATCAAAGTAAAACAGTGTGCCGGATCTATTTGGAGCCGTTCACTCTTCCCTTAACTTTCTCTTCAAAAAGGAATAGAAATCTCACTACTACTTTAAGTACTATGAAACCCAACAAATAAAACACTTTGCCCTGTCAGAAAGCATGGCAGGGCTTTAAAGCACAGATCATTGTGTTGCTTCTTACCTAGGTCAGGTATGTGCCACCTTTAAACTTCAACGAGTCTTGGAGCCTCAAGGACAGGCAGTATTTCATTAGGTTACTATGTCTGCCACCTCAGGCAAGGTCAAACGCATAAGAAACACTTTTTGCTTGTACTGCGTGTTTTGTATTTATTTCAGCCATTTTAAAATGTTCCATAGTTGGGTCTTGTTAGGTCAGTGGAAGTCACTGGGGTTGTGCCAGAATAAAACCAAATGGAGCAGCAGTGACTCAAGGCCTGTTTCTTTCCAAGAGCTATGTAAAACTTGTGTGACTCCAGACTGCAATTTTCATGTCATTTTTCTTCTCTTCCTGTTTTCAGCTCCACAGCTGGATTTGCATGTTAGAATAAATCCACATCTTAGAAGAGAAATCAAGTCAAGCATTTCCACAGCTCAACATGGCTTTTTCTCAAGACCATGCTAATCTATATTATTTTGATACAATACAGTAACATGAATCACCTAAAAAGTGTTGCTTTTTTGCCTGTCATCTTAAGGGCACTACCAATATATTCTCCCCAGATATTTTACATATTCCCTTTAATTTAAATCGCCAGTCAAGTTGAAGTCACACATCCCACGGGTTGCACTGAAACTGCCTCTGATAATGAAAGCTGTTTTCCTTAAGTGAGCCAGAGCAACAAAAAACAACTCGGATATACTATGCTTATTTATTTAACGTAATAAATAACAACTTCCATGGTTGGGAAAAAAAAACCTCAGGTCCTTCCCAGGTTTAGCCTCGGTGAATTTTGAAAAGCCAGGGCAGAAAGAAGGAGCTCTGGATCCTACTCTAAACTATACATACTATATTCAGGTCAGTTCTGCCACTCTAAACACCCTAAAGACAAGAAGCACAGTCTAAAGCCACTGAACCATACATGTCTCACACCTAGGGACCTACTAAGAATGTAAAAAGCACTAAGGATAAAAAGAACCCTTTTGATCCTCCAAAGACAGGCTAGATTTATAGGTCTAAAAAGTAACAATCTCAATGATACTAGCATACTTCCTTAGGACTGTGAAACTATGCACAGAGGCCTAAACATAATTTTAAAAGCTACCTTTCGAAAGCAGCAAAGGCTTAGCTTTTCCACAGTATTTCACTTTGAACAGAGAATGATTCTCAGGCACAATCAGGTATTAGATGCTACCAATAACAACAAACAAACCTGAAGCAGATCAGATTTGCCACCATTTGGGAGAATCTGTATCACTGCAACCCTCCACATGAAACCGAAGTCCAGAACAAGCCAGGCTAGGAAACCCCTCATCACTGCAGCAGGGACAATAGCCTATCTTTCCAAATACTGATGTCCAGAGAGTTGCAACTGATACGGGCAGCCCCAAGCCCATTGCAAACGTCCGAAGACAGCCCCATCCTGTGGCAACTGCTGTTATTCCCATTCACTGGTTCACAGCAGTTTAACTGCTATATTTTCCTTTATGCTAATACCTGTTAACATGGAAATGTGCTAATCACACAGGGAGTTTTCATTTGCCTGTGCAAAGGATTCATCCTCAGTTCAGCCTTTACAAGACACTTGGTTGCTCATTTTTCACATTCAGAGACGTTTGGGCACTGCTCCCACTCCTACCAGCCTGATGAGATTGGGCTTCTCAGGAGGCTGAACACAACACATTTCTCCCATAGTTTCACCTGTTCCAACATTGCAGTTTAAACACCACGTTACACAGAGAACTGCAAGCTCTACATCAGGCTGTTACAACGCAAAGACTACAAAGAATACTAGAACACTAAGAACAACTGAAAGACCCATTTAAATGGAGTCTTCTTATGAAGGAATAACATAGAAAATAAGTGGGTGCTTAAGCAAAAGAAATCAAAACACAAAGAAAGGGAGGATTTAAAAAGTAACCTAGGCTAAGCACAAACCAAACCAGATAAAGTGCAACAACTGCTCACAGCATCACAAGCATCAGACACCAATAGAGCCAGAGTATTTAAACTTTACTGAAAGCCAAGGCAGTATTTCCTCTACAGAGTTGAAGTGGCAGCTTGGCTTTTCAGTGTTCAGTAAATACTGCAGTACAGTTTTCCCCCGAGCCATTGAATTCCTAACATTTTTTCTGGTGCTCTACATTCAGCACTGGACAGCATTTAATGAAGGGCCAGCTAATTACTACCTACCGTTCTCACCGCTGGTGCTGAGGTGCCCGTAATAGTCTAGGAAAAACAACACAAGGCAAAGTTAAGAAAACTAAGCTACATGTTAAACTAGGCTGACATTCAACATCTCTCATTCAAAGCCACACTTAGTGCTATGCTCATTGACAACACTCATTAGGTGCTTTACCAACCACCAAACCCATCACAACTCTGTGCCAGCTTCTTACTTCCTTCACATGCAGCTTTTCTTTAAGGAAGCACGATAAGTAACATTGTTAGTCCTAAAACATAGCTTGAAAATGGAGACAAGCCACGAGATTCTACAAAAGGCTAGACTAGGAAAACCATTCTTGCAACCATGAGATCTGAGGAACAGCAAACTCTTTCCTTGGATTGCCCGTACACCTCAAACAGCTTGTTCTCCTCTGTGATCAACTTCACTGGAATGTCAAACAATTTTACCCACTTTAGCCTTGTTATCAGCTTCTTTTGCTTACCTCATTTGAACTTAAATTTGATCCCATTGCAGCCTCAGTTGCATGTAAGTCCAATGTGAAAAGATACCGAGTCGTACAGCAGGCAGGAACTCCTCATGCAGATTAGGGGTGGAGGAATAGGGATTTTATGACAAGGTTCTCCTGCCCCACCCCTTCATTAGTTCCAGTCATTAGGCAGTCCCCTCCCTGCTTCCTGCAGCCTATTAGAGCACCTCAACTGAGTCAGCAGAACAAAGAGAAATTTCTTTTCTACCTACTGTGATATGTTTGTAGGAGGGGGAGGAACACGACAGCACTGAAGCCCCTTACTGCCCAGGGCTTTCTTTCGTGAAGATACTACAGCTAATAAAAAGGTCTACACAACTCATGCAACGCCTCTAGCCCCCAAGCAAAGCAATTGTGACTAATTAAATCACAGCTCCCAGAATAACTACACTGCCACCATCATGCAGCAGGGTGGTGGAGAGAGAGATCTCAACAGCTTCTTTCCAAACTATGAACGAAAACCCATGTAGCAGTCTTCCCATAGCAGCATGCAGTGACCCCATCGCAGTACCACAACTAAGTAATTGCAGGACCCATGCTCCCCTGAATCTACACCTCTGTGCTACACTCAGTGACCTCTCCATATTCTTTGCCTGGATATTTAGTGTGTATCTAGAAAATAGGCGAATCCGCATCAAGAAGTCTCACAGTTTGATTTTAAATGCAATGGGAAGGAAGGGAGGAGCTATAAACAGTAGGTGAAACTTGGGAGTGGAAGGGTGAGGTAGAAGAGAGGGTTGTGCTCTCCTGCGTGGGCCCAGGGATCCAGCAGCAGTTCACCCATCCTCAGAGCTTATTTCAAAGGGATCTTGTATGTGCTTGCTTTCACAGTGACCCCAGAAGCACCCTGTGGGAAACACTGAGGCACAAAACGCTCCTTGATTCCTCTTCACTCTGGTGTGCAGTGACTCACTGCCTGTAATAATAGCAGTAAATTAGCATATATGTGCAGACTGGTATATTGTGGAGCATGCAAGACCAGACTCCAGCTCTGCCACACTCTTTCCGCCTCTCTGCTTGATGACAGGCAGCAGCTACTACTCACTCTTGCATCATAAGATCCAAGTGATTATTTTGAAATCAATCTCATTCATAATAAGTCACATCATGCTGGTAAAGAAAGTAACCTTGCAAACTGCAGTGGATGATGCCTAAATGCGCTCCCCCGTGCCACAGGGGCCAGTGCAAAACAGTTCTGCACAGAGGAAGAGAGGAGTTGTGTGTTAAAAGAGGATTGTGATATAATAGTGATGTTCCTTGGACAACAAGTCGCTTCCTTCAATATTGATGCCTGTGTGATAAACTCATGATGACTTTTTGGAAGGTCTTATCCAAAATGTGCATCGGTAGTATCTTGGTGGTGTCCATCTAAAGCATTTAATAACCTGCTGATAATTCCATAGTCACACTTTGCACAGTGTTCTCTATAGATATGGCATGAAAGGAAAATTACTTATAAATATGAACTTCTACCATCTGAAATGCTCTTGAAAGAATGACCAAAAGATATTTCCCATGGACACAAGCATCTCTAACGCCAAAGACAAAATACCTCTCTTAACTTTTATCTTCATTACAACATATCTGTGTTAAATACTGATGAACAAACTTAGGCGGAGCAGTCACAGCTGAGGATCACTTGCACTCTTGCAAAACTAGTCTTCCCAGCTTTGGAAAGAAGAATGCTTCTCTGGAAAAATTCCAGGGAATTCCAGTATTGAAGTGGGAATCTACTTTCATTAAAAATGTCTGCAAAATACCCTCAGTCAAAGGAAAGAGGGTAGATTATCCAACTCAACTTCTCTGAGTTGTCCCAGCAGATATACCGATACACATTTCTACCATCCCAGCTGACTCCCTGACATTACAGTCTCTTACCCACATTGCTTTTAAGATGCATAAGTGAGATACCATCTAATTATTCCGGAGTCAGTGCATCTTACCAGCTGAATGGTTTCCTGATGTTCAGATTATGTTTTCCCTTTCTCAAAATGTCACTGTTGCCATACCCAAAACATGTTCCTAAATAATTGTTCCTTTCCTGCTCATGACCACCACCAGGTTCTGTAGCTGGCGCTGTCTTCCCTTAAACACTGCTTGTCCAAGCCACACAGGAAGCCTTTGGAATACAGTATCTTTAACAGCTTTGTGCAAATCAAAAATTATGATCTCAACACTTTTTCATTCATGCAATAAGTTCATCATAGACCTAAGTGCTGAATGCTCAAAACGCCCGTAACAATAGGTCCTTGTCATCACTGAGAAAATTTTAACTGGTGATGGCTTATTCGCTGGTGCCTGTAAGGACTCCTTAATCTACTGCTTGTTCGTCCCACTGACATTTTAAAGGTAGAAATGTATCTCTAGGATTACGATTTCAAGAAGATCACTATTTCAAAGGTTAAGTATCATGTTGGGTTTTTTCATTTTTTCTTAGTTCCTTTACAATTCAAGGAGACTTTCAAAGACAACCATCAAACAGGCAGTAAGGAAATTCATGGGTGAAGTTGCCCAAAGTCTAAACAGCCATAGACCGGCTCATTTAGCAACTACATTTCTGGAGTAAATAATTTAAAATCACTAGCGATCTTGATATACATGCTGCTTAAACTCTTACCTTGATTTTTAAAGACTGGAGAGACTGTGTCACTGATCAGGGAACACACAGCAGTCTCTTTAAAGCTCCGAGCAATAACAAAGAAAGTAAAAAGGAAGGTATAATTTTCCTTTGCTCTCCATCTACTTTGTAATGCTCATTTATATACACATGATCTTGTATCCATGTCTTAATTAAGGCAAAGTGGAGCAAACATAAATATCTTGTTGGTCTGAAGCAGTCAAAACTCACCTAAACTACCCTGTTGTAAGCACTAGTTCCCCCAGCATGATACTCAGATCATTGTGTATCTAATTGCAATAGGTTGCAGATGCAATGACAGCTGCATCCAATATCCCACAATTACCTTATACATAAATTTGTCACCTTCTGATAATCCAGGACTACAAAAATGTATCACTACTGGAGAATTTCATATTGTTGCAAGAGAAAAGTATCCTTATGCCGCCTTTGTGATGACAATAGGAATGGGTCATCATTTAAATATGTTGAATGTAACAACAAAGGTAAAGACACAGAAACATGCCAAAGGTGTTACAAAATGGTAGCTATTTGTCACATTGAAAAAAAAATACCCAGAATTAACAACTAGAGTAAATTAACAAATAAACAAATATAGTGTCAGATCTATAACTGGGGATTTGCCCTGACTCCAGTTTTCACAGTGTTTTCTTTATTTTTCAAATGATTCCGTAAGTTACCAAACCTACACAGACCTCATCCTGCCAGTCAAATAAGAGAGCAAGCAGTCCAGCTCCAAGTTCATTTACATGAAATTACATGATAAACGTAAACTCAACACACAGGATTTACCATGGATGAAAAATGACATTTCCTTCCCCATGGTATCACTTTCAGTCCCTGAAAAATTCGGCTTTGGTTAGATACTTTTTGGCCTACCATTAATCTAAAGAAAATTTCTGGCATTATATATATTTATTCATATATATATAAATGTTCACATTAATTTGTTGACATAGTCTGAAAATTTTGTATTATCCATTTGTAAGCCACAGAGACCTTCAATCTGAATCCGAATCTAAATTCCTGAGAATTAAAAACATCAAATTGGTCAAGAAAGAGATAGATCACAGTGGCTGATCAGGGGAGGGGGGATCATTTTTACTTAAGGTACTATTCTGGTTAAGACATACATGAAGAAAGACTTCTGCCTTCAAAAGGCTTATTGAGAAACTTGATTAAGATGATTCCACATGCCTTTCATACATTTTTGAGAGATAAAATCTTGCTCCTCCCAGTCACTCACCTGAAGCAGTTGGGCAGTTTTGCTATCCAAAAATCATCAGTACAGAACTGGCCCGTGTGTTCCCAATATACGCAATCCTGCCGCCTTCAGTTTTGTTGCAACAGAATTTCAAATCCAATCCCTGTCTCAAAATTCAGTAGCTCAAAACCTTTGCCTCTGCCCCTCCCTGTGCTCTGCGCATCTAAGCATCCAGCAGCATCTCCCTCTACCTTTGCAGGAACAGTCTGAGGTCGCCTCACCTTTCCAGGTTTGTTCAGCACTTCAGACACCGTTTAAGCAGCTTTTCCTCTTCCCTAACCTGAACCAGACCTCAGACATGAGGAATACCAGCACCAAACTGTGTCAGCTAATTAGCCAGTAATTCCTTGAGCATAAATGTAGGCAGACACATAGCCCAGGAGCTTTACAGGGAAATCTAAAGCCAGTTTGAAACTGAACCAATTCTCAGAATATCAGGAAGTCACCTTATGTCACCAGCTAATTAAAGAGACAACTTCATCTCAGTCACCCTGGGAGATGTTTGAGTTCTAACAGAGACTACAAAGTTTCACAGCTAATTGCTTACGGGATCATTCCATTACCTTTAGCAGAGCTTGTGTGACAGGTCACAAATGGGTGTTTGTAAGATGAAAAATTATTGTTGACCTACCTGAATTTTAGAACATAATAGAATGTAATAGAACAATTATGCCAACGCTGAATCACTGTGAAAAATCCATCTGATATGTCACTGAGCCTCAGCTGCTTTCTTAAAAAGTAGCATCAGTAATACTGAACATCTCTCCTTCGTTATTTTGGTTAATAGCTGGTGAGCCACTTGAACAAACATCTCCTCCCCTGTCCTTTCACACTGCATTTCACTGCCACATCAAAGGCGGGATTCGGAGGTATTACTGCAATCTGAACATGATCAAATCTAAATAGAACAGAAGAAGAAGCCTTTTCTTCCCCAGACAAGAAACTAAATGAATCCATTGTGGAGCAAACTCACAAGTCAATAAAGTATAACCACCGAGCTTGGCCAGCGCAGGGAAAGTGCTAGCCCCATTCAGTATTAGAGCCTTGGAGCCAGGTGGCAACTCCAGCATCACACTCAACATCTTGACTTTCCTTCAAGTCAGAATATCAAGCTGCTAATCCAGAAACTTTGAGCAGACTAAAATGTTTTAGTGGCTTGCTC